GGGTGGGCATGCCTCCTCCAGGGGATCTTCCCAAACCAGGGGTTGAGCCCACATCTCCTGCACTGCAGGCCGAGTCTTTGCTGCCGAGCCACCAGGGACGCCCACGACTCTTCAGCTCTACTTCTAAACCATCGCCTCTCTCTCACCTGGACTACCCTGAAAGTTCCAGAACAGTCTCCCCACTCTCACTCTTGTCTCTTTCATCACACACAGAGCAATCAAAGTGAGCGTCTTTCAACTGAAGTCAAATCATCTCACCCCAATGCTTAAGAAATGGTAACGGTTTGCCAGTGCGCTTTGAAAGTATATAAATATTAAAATCCCTTATCATACCCTAAAGCCTTTAGGACCTGGCTCAAACACTCCATCCTCATATCCATATCCTCACTTTAAGGCTGAGATCTCGCCACCATCATCCTATCCTAACAGAAACCTTTAAAACAAAAACAAAACAACAACAAACAAAAAACCAACAATATATCTAGCATACTTTTTTGGGGGTCTGCCTGTGCAACTTGTGGGACCTTAGTTCCCTGACTAGAGACCAAAACCCAGTCCTCGGCAGTCAGAGGAGGGCTGCCAGAGAATTCCCTCTATCTAGCAAACTTCTATTTATTCAAGATAACTTACATACACTTCCTCTGGGAAGTCTTCCCTGAACCCTTTCTTCTTCCCTAACCTCAAACTAAGAATTGGGTTTATCACCTCTAGTATCCCATAATATTCTATAATAGAGTCATTACTGCACTTGTTATAACAAAAGTTTGTTTAAAAATTATGGTTTACTACTTCCAAGAAACTATATGCTCTTTAAGCTGAGGAATTATATCTTAATCATCTCCCAAGTCCCAAAAACCAGCACAAAGTATACACAAATATTTGTTAAGCAAAATGACTTCAAAGTCACCATTATTCTCGTAAGACTATCATATTTATAGTCCCACAGTTAGTTCCCAGGAAGTTCTTTACACATAGTACATATAAACTGTTATGTTGAATAACCTGCCTTTAAGAAATGAGAAGCTGTTGCTGCTGCTGCTAAGTCGCTTCAGTCGTGTCCGACTCTGTGCGACCCCAGAGATAGCAGCCCACCAGGCTCCCCCATCCCTGGGATTCTCCAGGCAAGAACATTGGAGTGGGTTTCCATTTCCTTCTCCAATGCATGAAAGTGAAAAGTGAAAGTAAAGTCGCTCAGTCGTATATGACTCTTAGAGACGCCATGGACTGCAGCCTACCAGGCTCCTCCGTCGATGGGATTTTCCAGGCAAGAGTACTGGAGTGGGGTGCCACTGCCTTCTCCAAATGAGAAGCTAGTTTTCTTCAAAGTGTTCACCTAAAATCCATCACTCAGAAGGAGAAAAAAGAATTCTTCAGAAATAAAGCCTCAGAAGGAGAAAGGTCATATCTCCAGGAGCTCTCTCACTGGAAGTCTGGTTTAAGTAGAAAAGGGGACTTCAGGGGGAACAAATTACTTTTATAATTAGTACCATCTTCTTCCTGATTCAGAAAAATTACGAACTTGTGTAGTACTAATACGAGTTGGTGATGGACAGGGAAGCCTGGTGTGTTACAGTCCATGAGGTCACAAAGAGTCAGACACAACTGAGCAACTGAACTGAACAAGTCATCCTAATGCTTACAATGAGAAAATTTAGCAGTCATAATATATTTCCCTAAATGTGTAAAATATCAAAGAAATTATACAATAAGCATGAATCCCTTTTCTAATGAGAAAAAAATAAGAGGAAGAAAATAGGAGGTAGAAACTGGAAATATGAATGATTCCTTATTTTTCTCTAAAGCTTGCAATAATATAGTTAGCATTTGTTGTTCTAGTAGAATAAAACACTGCCAACTCTGCATTATCTAAAACATACAATGTGTCATGAACGCTTCTATGACACAGAATTTTAAGGTAAATTCAGAGAGATTTATCAAGAATTTTATGTTGTATTCCCTTTACTTTTTAACAAGGGTCACAAGTCAAAGCAGACCTAATTACCAGTAAAGATCCAGTTGGTTGTTAGGAAGCCTGGGGTTCTGTCTAGGGCCCACAACTGCTCAGATGGTGTGAGTGTAGTGACTCAGTGAGCACAACAATTAAAAGTTTAGCTTTCGGGGGTCAAAATACTCCAATACAATAAAAAGGAAAACTTTTTTATTCCTGACCCTTCATCTCCAAGAGAAAGAAAAAAAAAAAAAAAAGCAAAGCACACAACTCTATTTCTCAGAGTGGTATAAAGCTGTCTGGGGCTTAGCACTTCCCTGGCTGCTGTCCACCCCCAGTCAGGACACACGTGCCCCTTTATCTACCAAGAAGTCAGTATCCTGATATTTGTCATTGCTACGAGCAGACTACATTAAAATTCTGACTTTTAAGCTGTTTTTCTAATTCCAAATAAAAAATAATTCTCTTTTGACAAGATCTTTATGATTTTGTTTTTCTCACAAATAAGTGTAGCAGGTAACTCTAACAATAAAGCATCCAGGAAACATGCGCCAAGTTAAAAAAGAAGTCAGACATCTAAGTGCAGAGGTTTCTTCATAACTCTATAGGGGGAAGAAAATGTAAAAAAAAGAAAAAAGATTCAATACTAAGTTAGAGATAACAAGGGGAAAAAAGTTAAAATGTCTGAAGAGTAAGACCTATAAAGAAAAGTGTAAAGAACTGTAATCAATTCATCGAAAGAAAGTACAATGACTATCAAGTACAAGTGAAAATGCCTATAAAAATGGTTAGAACATAAAGAAACTTATTTCATTTTTGTTAAGGAAAAACATTTCCTTGTTCTAAGACTTATTTAGATTATCTTTCAATAAGACTTTTATCCATCATTTATATGGTTTTACTGACTGAAGATTTAATATAAAATGTGAAGAAAAGCTGACAAACCAGAAGAATCAGAAAACATGAATTAAAAAATGACTACGGAATCTTCTCTTCCAACAATTTAAAATAACTAGGCAGACATACTAAAGATGTGTATATAATTAGTAAGCATGCATAGTTCACTAAAAAATCCTTTAATTTTGTTTCAAAACATCTTCTAGAAAAAACATTAGGTTGAAGTCAGTTAAAATTTAAAACTTTAATTCTTCAAAAGAAACTGTTAAGAGAATGAAAAGGAAAGCCACAAACTGGAGAAAAGACTTTGAAAAAGCATATGAAGTTCCAATACTTTGGCCATCTGATGCAAAGAGCCAACTCACTGGAAAAGACCCTGATGCTGGGAAAGACTGAGGGCGGGAGGACAAGGGGTGACAGAGGATGAGATGGTTGGATGGCGTCACCAACTCAATGGACATGAGTTTGAGTAAACTCCAGGAGACAATGAAGGACAGGGAAGCCTGGCATGCTGCAGTTCAAGGGGCTGCTAAGAGTTGGACATGACTTAGCAACTGAACAACAAAAAAGGACTTGTATTTACAACATATAAAGAACATAAAAACTCAAAAATAAAACAACCCAATTTTATTTTTACAACCCAATTTTAAAAATCAGCAAAGGAACTTCCCTGGTGACCCAGTGGCTAAGACTCTGTGTTCCCAATGCAGGGGTCCTAGGCTGGATCCCTGGCCAGAGAACTAGCTTCTACATTCTGCAACTAAGAGTTTGCATACCAGAGCTAAAGATTCCACATGCCCCATCTTATGATCTCCAGTGCCACACAAAGATCGTAGATCCCAAGTGCTGCAACTAAGACCCGGCACACTCAAATTAAAAAATTTCAAAATCAGCAAAAGATTTTGACATTTTGCAAAAGAAGATATGTGAACTGCCAAGAAGCATATGAAACGATGCTCAACATCATACCACAATAAGACAGTACTAAGCCCCTAGTGGGGCTTCCCTAGAGCTCAGTTGGTAAAGAACGGGTAATATTAAAAAGACTGATCAAATCAAGTGTTAGGATATAGAGCAAAGAAGAGTCCTCATACTGACAGGCAGGAATGCAAACCGTTATGACTTTGAAGAGTTTGGCAGTTTTTTGAAAGGTTAAATGTACACCTACTGTATGATCCACCCCTCTCCTAAAGATTTACACACGGGAAAAGAAAATATATGCCATACAAAGAACTGCACATGAACGTTCATATAAGTTAGTATGCAACAGCCAAAAATGGAAAACCCAAAGGACCATCAAAGAATGAGTGAATAAACAAATCTAATTTAAACTGGTGTAGCTATAACAATGGACTACTACTTGGCAATAATAAGGGATGACGTTAATGATACACACAAGCACACGTGTAAATCTCAAAATAATGCTGAGTGAAAGATGCCAGAGATCGTTACCAAAAGAGTATGTTTCCATTTATTTTAAAAATTATACAAAATGCAAACTAAATCTATAGTGACAGAAAGCAGATTACCGGTTGCCTGCAGAGAGAGGGATTATCAAGGGCTGGAGGAAACCTGAAGGGGTGATGATTATGTTTACTATCTTGTGTTTCGTTTCCTACGGGGTGTGCGGGGGCACATCTGGTCAGAACGTATCCAACTGTACACTTTAAAGTCTGTTGGGTCAAACTCAAAGATGAAAAAGTCCTCAAAAGTCATTCTTTAAAAAGGAAAAAAAAAAGATTTTAAAAAACTAAGCAAAACAAAAACCTCCAGTCTCGGTGTGGATCAATTTCACCGCTGGGAACTGCCCTTCCTCCTCTTAAGCCTTCCTTCATCTCAAGACCGACACCCTTCCGAGAACCCTGAAAGGTTTACAAAACTCTTGACTAAGCTTCAAAGTCCTGCCCCTTGAGTTCTCGTGTCCTCAGTCCCTGCCACACAGAAACCTCCTATCCACCTTCCTGTTCGCAACGTTTAGCCTTACTGAAGAGTGACAAGTGCCCCTATTCCCTCCAGTCCAGGCTCCCAAACATTCATCCACGAGCTTCACCGAGCTGTGCTCGGTCCCGAAACACCGCTACCGAAAGCTGCGCCCCCACAGCCCACCCCCGGACCCGCCCGTGAGCGGGGACTCGAACACCCGGGTCCCTGTTACCTGCCACCGGCTGGCCGCGCCGCGGACAATTCAGCCACCGCGGCGGGATCTTGTTGTGAGCCATGTCTTGGGGCCGCACACAGCCGCCCCTCCACCAACGCTCGCCGCGCCTCGCCGCCGCCTCCTCGCGGGCCGCTCTGAACCGTAGGTCTGAGGTACCCGAATCCCGGGCGGCGTCCGAACCCCAGCCGCTCGGACGCGGGTAATGTCAGCGGCGGCGCGCCACTTCCATTCAGGCTCAACTCTAGGCGAACCCACAATGCACCGCCACTTCCGCCCCCAAAGGCCCCACCCACTTCTTTCCGAGGTCAGAGGTGAAAAAGAGACGCTGGCGGAGGGATGGGAAGGAGTTAAGGCCAAGGCGAATGGAAGGGGCGGGTCTTCCCTCGCCCCGCCCCTCCCCGCCCCGCCCCGATCTCGGAGCGTTCTGCAGGCGGCTTTGCACACGCTCAGCTGCCCTAGTACGGGATACCGCAGAACTACCGTTCTTCACATTTCTGTCTGGACAGCCGATGGAAACCCTGGAGAATGAAAGGAAACCAAGCCTCTTTCCAAGCGCAGAGTAGTCTGCAGATTTCGTTAAGGCATCTGTTTTCCTGGCGAAAGGGATTTTCCCGCCGCCGTCATACCCCAAGAGCCTGATCGCCCTTTTTTCAGCCAACTTTGGCGTCCCGGCAGGATCTAGGTTTGATTGGGAATTTGGAAAGTTCTTCCTGACTTGGATTAGCGGAACAAGCTTTAGAGAAACTCTAAGGGCAAGCGATTGGAGCACCAGAAATGGATTTCTCTTTGGGGGTGTGCTTCTAGGGATCCATGAAGCATCTGAAATTAACCCCAAACCGTGACTTATGAGTGTTGTTTCTACATTTCTGGAGCAGTTTTATAGTGTATTTGGGAGTCTCACAGTTACCAACTAATGTGTGTAATTGGCAAAGGCAGAAACTGCTCAGTGGAGTACCGCTAAGTGGCAGTGTTCTCAATTTGGCTTACAAAATGGTCTTCCCTTCGAGCTAAGCAGGTGCGATTGGAGGCATCTTCCAATTCCAGGCGATTGAAAGCTCATTTTATAAACTGTGTCCTGTAATAGACTTTATAGCTACCAGACTAATTTAGTTAAAGTACTGAATATAAAGCTGGATGCTGGCAAGTTAATTATAGTGTTAACAGATTGGTTTTATTTTTTTTTTCATTCCTTTTTATTTTTTTTTATTTATTTATTTATTTATTTTTTAATCACAACCATAGTGTATCTTTTTTTTTTTTTACATGTATTCCCCATCCCGGTCCCCCATCCCACCTCCCTCTCCACCCAATCCCTCTGGGTCTTCCCAGTGCACCAGGCCTGAGCACTTGTCTCATGCACCCAACCTGGGCTGGTGAACTGTTTCACCCTAGATAATATACGTGTTTCAATGCTGTTCTCTTGAAACATCCCACCCTTGCCTTCTCCCAGAGTCCACAAGTCTGTTCTATACATAGGAGTCTCTTTTTCTGTTTTGCACATAGGGTTATCGTTACCATCTTTCTAAATTCCATATATATGTGTTAGTATACTGTAATGGTCTTTATCTTTCTGGCTTACTTCGCTCTGTATAATGGGCTCCAGTTTCATCCATCTCATTAGAACTGATTCAAATGAATTCTTTTTAATGGCTGAGTAATATTCCATGGTGTATATGTACCACAGCTTCCTCATCCATTCGTCTGCTGATGGGCATCTAGGTTGCTTCCATGTCCTGGCTATTATAAACAGTGCTGCGATGAACATTGGGGTGCACGTGTCTCTTTCAGATCTGGTTTCCTCGGTGTATATGCCCAGAAGTGGGATTGCTGGGTCATATGGCAGTTCTATTTCCAGCTTTTTAAGAAATCTCCACACTGTTTTCCATAGTGGCTGTACTAATTTGCATTCCCACCAACAGTGTAAGAGGCTTCCCTTTTCTCCACACCCTCTCCAGCATTTATTGCTTGTAGACTTTTGGATAGCAGCCATCCTGACTGGTGTGTAATGGTACCTCATTGTGGTTTTGATTTGCATTTCTCTGATAATGAGTGATGTTGAGCATCATTTCATGTGTTTGTTAGCCAAACAGATTGGTTTTAAATATCAGTGCTATATTTGAACTGCAAGAGAATGTGGTTTGGGGCAGGGCAGGGAATGCGTGTTAAAGCAGTGGTCCCCAACATTTTTGGCCAGTTTCATGGGAGACAGTTTTTCCACGAACCAGGCTGGGGAGAGGGTGTTGGTTTCAGGATGATTCAAGCGCATTTCATTCATTGTGCACTTTTACTTCGATTATTATGACACCACCTCCACTTTAGATCATCAGGCATTAGATCCTGGAGGCTGGTGAGAAACTTGTGGGACTGCTCATCTCCCAAATGCCTGGACCCTCTCAATATGATCAGAATTCTCACCTGAAATAGAGCGGGCTTTCTCTGTTTGAGAGACCCTGAATTAGTTGGCACTCCTGGTCTGTCTGGCTGTTATATCTGTTGAGACCTTTTAGTGAAAGTAACACTCCTCTGCTAACAGGAAAAGATAAGACTCAGTTGCCTTACAAACCAGCAACCTGCCCAGATGATGGCCAGTTCTGGTGTCTGCTGGCAGAGTGGAGTTGGGAGCAATCAAAGAGGAGACCAAGAGATGTGAATGAGAATGAGTTTGTGGTTCCAGAAAGCCAGGGAGGTCTCACATTGGTCGCTCTGTGAGCATCTGTTTTTCCTCTTGGAGAAGGGCAGAGAGGTGAGAGTAGGGGTAAATAAGATTGAATTTTCCCTGTTAACAAAAAGGAAAAAGACAAGCCCTTTACCTAGAGCATTTTCTTTCAAAAACTTTTATTTGTAAATCCTGCCCCATCGCTTTAATACCTATATATAAGTCTTTTGAACAGCTCAGTAAGCCTCTTGCCTGCTTTACAACCCAAGAACTTTTCTCAGGGTCTGGAGAGCCACTTCTTTGTGAACAGGAAGAAAGATAACACCCTCCTGTCTCCTTATCACCCCGGGAATTTAACCTAAAGAAAGCAGAGACATCGCTTTGCCACCCAAGGTCCCTACAGTCAAAGCTATGGTTTTTCCAGTTAGTCCTGTATGGATGTGAGAGCTGGACCATAAAGAGAGCTGAACGCCAAAAAATTGATGCTTTTGAACTGTGGTGTTGGAGAAGACTCTTGAGAGTCCTTTGGACTGCAAGGAGATCCAACCAGTCCATCCTAAAGGAAATCAGTCCTGGGTGTTCATTGGAAGGACTGATGCTGAAGCTGAAACTCCAATACTTTGGCCACCTCATGTGAAGAGCTGACTCATTGGAAAAGACCCTGATGCTGGGAAGGATTGAAGACAAAAGCAGAAGGGGACAACAGAGGATGAGATGCTTGGATGGCATCACCGACTCGATGGACATGAGTTTGAGTCAACTCCGGGAGTTGGTGATGGACAGGGAGGCCTGGCGTGCTGCAGTCCATGGGGTCGCCAAGAGTCAGACACGACTGAGCGACTGAACAGCAACAACACCAGGTTCCAAGCTGTGAGTCGCAAAGACAGAACCCATGTCTCTCATGTCTCCTGCGTTGGCAGGCGAGTTCTTTACCACCAGCACCACCTAGGAAGCCTTCTGTGTGTGTGGCTATGTCTAGATTTCCAGTCCATGTACTGGATTCTGGCCCACCCTAATCCTGTGTAAACTTATCAAGTTTCCATCTGCAAAAACCTATTTCCAAATAAAGCCACACTCAGAAGTACAAGGTTAGAAATTAAACATATCTTTTGGGACAATTCAGTCCAGAAAACCCACCATGACTTCTGGAGGCACGTCCAGACTTGCAGAAACATAAGCCCTTCTGAATCCCAGGAATTTGGCTGCTCTGTGTCTTCCTTTTTCAGAGAACCATTCCATTTTTCTAAAAACTCAGAGAGTGAGACACAGGCCTTAAAAATCACCTTCCTTGTCCCTCCCTTTCTTTGAATACTGCAAGTGGAACCCAGCAGTATCCTTCCTGGGACAGACCCCTCCCACCATGTCCTCTGCTTAACCTCCTCTCTGAACATCTCATGCGCATTTTCTGTGTTGTTCTACAGATCCTAAAACCCCCATCAACGTAACTACCTGGCAGTCTAGTGGTTAGGGCTCCTCGCTTCCACTGCAGGGGGCGCACTGATCCCTGATCAGGGGGCTAAGATGCTGCAAGCCTCTCAAAGTAGCCAAGAAGTAAAAACCCCACTAAACTATTATAATAACATAGAACATAACAGTACATTATGACTAGAGCATGTAGCCCCCCAGACCTACAGGAACCTGAGGATTGATAATGGTAACCCCTGTAACATCAACATCAGCCAATAAGAAAATGGTGCATAAGCTGATCACATCCCCTGGATTTTTTTTAGTTGCCGCATGTGGGATCTAGTTTCTTTGACCAGGGACTGAACTTGGGTCCCCTGAAGTGGAAATGTGGAGCCTTAACCACAGGACCACCAGGGATGTCCCCCACCTTGCCTTTAAAAGTGCCTCCTCGAAGCCCGCTGGGGAGTTTGGGCTTTCTGAGTGCTAGCTGCCGGGGACTCCATGTCTGGTGCCTTGCAATAAATGCCTTTCCTTCATCACAAGCTGGTGTCCATAGATTAGTTTTACTGTGTGACGTTGTGGACCAAGTTTGGTACAGTAGTAGTAGGAGATGTGGGGAATGAGATATCTTGAGCAAACTCAAAATCACCTCCCATAAATTAACACATCGTAAATCAACTATACTTCAGTTTTCTAAAAAACTATTCAGTGGTCTAGAGCTTAAAGCCTCATTGCCTGTTTATGATTTGTTGTCCTTCATGTTTTTATTTTCTATCCTGGGCATATTTACAGGGTTTGATTTTGGTTTACTTCTGTAGGCCCTCTTGGCATGAGAGACACACATCAGTCAAATGGCCTCCTTAAACCTGTTTAATTAATTTAACAACATAAATTCCCCAACAAAGTCTCAACATGAAATGACTCCAGTTCCAGGGTTGCAAATATATGCCCAACTCTGAACAAGTCACCAACCTGCACACAAGAATACCACATCTATT